TACAGAGTGGCCCGAGGTGTGTCAGTCAGTACAACCTGCCTCCTGAGTGTCTTCCAGATGGTGAAGATCAGCCCCATGAGCTCCATTTGGAAGCAGCTTAAAGCTAACCTTCCCAAGCACATTGGCTTGTCTATTTTCCTCAGCTGGAGTCTCAATATGTTGGTAAATTGTATTTTTCCCTTTTATAGCATCAACAAACACAGCAGCAAAAATATCACAAAAATGAATTTTGGACACTGCACTTCAGGATTTCAAGACAAAATCACAGAAGCATTGTATGCAGCATTCATATTATTCCCTGAAGTTTCATGTTCTGGGATCATGATCTGGTCCAGCGGCTCCATGATTTTCATTTTGCACAGGCACAAGCAGCAGGTCCAACACATCCGAAAGACAAATGCTTCCCACAAATCATCCCCTGAGTCCAGGGCCACCCAAAGTGTCCTTGTCCTCGTGTGCAGCTTTGTGTGTTTTTACACCCTCTCCTCCTGCTTTTATGCTTCTGTTGTGAATTTCGATATTCCTCGTTGGTGGCTCCTGAACACCTCTGACCTGATTTCTACCTGCTTCCCTGCTGTCAGCCCTTTCGTTCTAATGAGCTGCAACTCCACTGCATCCAGACTCTGGTTCAAATTCTCATGCTTTGTCAGAAGCAGGTAAAGTGCATCATTTTGCAAAAAGGTGAGTGCTTGAGACACAGAGAGGCCCCCAGAGAGCAAGACGGAGAAACCGAAGGAGGCTCGGGTGCAGCCAGTAGTAGAGTTCTTGTCTGGGGTCTGAGACACCGAGTTTGATACACAGGACAGAAACAAAATGGACAAAATAAATATCAGTTAAAACTTTAAATGTAGAAAATCAAGGAGAAAGACATCAACCTCTAAGGTGAACTCTGGTGATTTTGGGGATTTCTCAAGCTGAACTCTCAGGTCAGTGTGGTAGACTGGGCTGATCCTTCTGCACAGCATCCTATTGGAAATTGCCCTAGAATGTTTTGGAAAGGAAATAAATTGTGCTTGGTAACAAACTCTGGGTCATACTGACGAGTGACTTATGGGAAACACACGTTTTTAGAAACACTACTGGAAGACAAAACAGTGCACAAGCAAGAGGTGAATACTCCTAGGAGGCCCCTTCTGTAGGTTGTCAGCTATCTGCCTGCTTTTTGGGTAGTGGTCTCGAGATTTAACACACTAGGGCTGCTTCTTTTCATGGTTGTTTGTGTAGAATGAGACTGTAAAGATAGAGATAAGTCCACTTACTGGTCCAGAAGGTAGATTTGTTTATTGCACAGGAAAACTAAGATGTCTCATCTGTAGCAGTGTGGGACAAGTTGAGCAGAAAGTTCCTTGAAAGACTGGGGGCTCTTGTGTTTTGGTTCCTTACAGGTGACGTCAATTGGCTGAATGAGCAACATCCAGATAGACACAAAAATATAGAGAGAGACATTTAGGGCCCCTATTGACCGAAGTCAGATGCTAAAAGACGACTAACCGACTCTCCAAGGAGACAGACCAGGGTGCTCAGATGAAAATATACACTAAGGAAGCAAATTTACCTGTGACTTAATGCAGTGAAATGTAATCGGAGATTAGAGACAAGCAGGTGAAGGACAGTACAGAGGAAGGAAGGTCCTGCACCAGGTCCTGCACCAGTCCAGTGCCTGAAGGAGACACTGTGTCTTACTCTTAAACTGCTTTTTTGGAAAGTTCAGATGTCCACTGAAGCATTTTTGTAAGAGTAAATTCCATTTTAGACACATTGAACTGTGGTTTTCTTTTATATCCATGCTTGTGTAGCACACAGTTGGATTTTATGAAGAAGGTTGAGGCATGGGCTGACTTTACGGCTGTGAATGTGAGCAGGACTTGCATAAGCTCATGGCTCTGTGCATTTCCAAGAGAAACTGCCCAGTGTTGTAAGGTATAAGTCTATTGTTGCAGACATACAAGTTGTAATTTGTGGTCTCACACTAAGTCCACATTGGCGTGGAATATCTCATCTCACACTTTCACTTTCAGCCTCTGTAGGTCTTTTCAGATAAAATCTTATAGGAAGCACAAAGCTGTGTCTTGTGCTGTTTGACTTCTCTGGACTTAGCTGAAATCTTTTGAGGGGAGGGTTAAGTCATTTACATTTAAATGGACAAGGACCTAGTATTGCTAATTTGTTTATTGTTTTGTGTTTTTAAAATCAATTTTGTGTTCATTTTTCCTCTGTTTTTGTCTTCCACTGTGATTTGATGATTTTTTTTTTATTTTAAAGATAAAAGGAGAGAAACATTAACAGACATACAACATTTTACAACATATCACAAGCACAATACAGTCAATACAGAGTTACAAACAAAGTGGTAGGAAATTGACAATGGTGGTTGTATTACATATTGATATCTTCAAAGTG